TGCACGCCCAGCTTGAGAGCTCGATGGAGAACAGCTTACTGACCTGAGCTGCTGCATGAGCAAAAGTTTTAGTCAGATACTGCCACGAACACCTTTAACGAGTATTTCATTCGCAGATTGTGGGTCCTTTCGCACATGCTACTAAGGGCCGCATGCATTTCCCCGCCGGAAAGTAATCGCAGCTTCAGAAGAAAGCTTCACGTCCTGAAGCTAAAGATATTTGGATTTCACGCTGTCTACTTATTCGTAAGTATTCTTACCAACCTTCACTATGAACATATTGAACGAGAGCAAGAAGCTGTACAAACCGCATTTTCCAGCTTTTTATATGATCCTCTGATGATCCCGCGCGGCCGAACGTCTTTTTTCAAATTCAGTTTTCTTCCCTCAATGCTAACGGAAACCTTTTACAGTCCTATTTATCTAAACCAACAGTGCTAAGTTTGTTAATAAAAAACAAATGCTATCGGAATATCGGTTTTTCGATATACTCCAACTTTCAACTTGTGGTTTATCGCAAATTTCATGACTTTGAAACATCACTTCTTCTTACCAGAAACATGATGATTAGTACTGTAGGGTTAGTTGAACAGTACAACTTTGGAATGTTTTTACTGACTTACTGACGACTACTGACGAAAAAAGAAAAATGACTTTAGATAAAGGACGGCAGCCAGGGATTATCAGGGGATCAAACAAAAAGCTGGAAAATGCGGCTTGTAAGCTTCTTGCTCCCGTTCAAGATGTTTATAGTGAAGGATGGTGGGAGTACTCACGGATAGGTAGACTGCGTGAATCCAGATATCTGGAGCTTCAGGATATGAAGCTTTCTTTTGAAGCTGCGATTCCCTCCCCAGCGGGGACGTCAATGCATGCGGTACTAAGTGTATGAAGTGTGAGGACTCTTCATCTGAGCATACATGCCGCTTTCAGTCGCCACGCGACTAGAATATTCACAAGAGCTCTTCAGTATAACACTAAGGACTACAAATGCACAATGTGTGTGCGGCTATTATAAACAAAGTGTAACGATTGGTAGGAACAACTCGAACTACATGGTCTTAACATCAACACCGCCAATACAAAATAATGAAGCTGCGACTTCAGACGCCAGGGACGACCCAGATCGCAAGCATGCAGATCAAGAACACCACTTCCTTCAAGTGCCTGGGAAGTCGCATCGACCCAGATGGCACGCTTGAAGACGAGATCACCATTCATAAAAGCAGCATGGCTGGAGTAGAGAAGGCTCACAGGAGTGCTGTGCAACAAATGAATGCCGCTCAAACTGAAATCTTAAATGCTGGTGTTGGCCGTGCATGCGCAAGGAGGAACGGAAGCTTGGTGTGATGAAAACACGTATGCTGCAATGGACGATGGGCGTCACGATGCTCGATCATGTCACGAACGACTCATACGAACAACAATGAAAATGACCCCAAAAGTCAAGAAGGTACAAGAAAGACGGCTTAGGCCCGTAGGCACGTACATCCTCCCTGGGGAGGGGAGGGGAGCTGCATCCCCAAGGGAACGATCCCCTTCATTAAACTCCGCTATGACAAAGGGGAGGGGAGCGATCCCCTCCCCTGCACCTATAGCGGGGATGGTGTGATTGCGCTACCCGCTTCTACCTCACGGCTACTACAATACCTCGCCAAAAAAGTTGTTTTTGGTCAATTCTTGTGCACCAGAATGGCTTTTGGAGCAAATAAAAGAATACTAATTTTGCTTGCCTTCGTCCCTTTCGCAAACTTCTCCATTCATCCCTTCCATCACATCTCTTTCCTTCGCTCTTTTTTCCGTATTACTGGTTCTAAGGCTACGTGCTGTCAGTAGTGATAGTGATGATTTTTGAAGTGGTTTGCGTCTATATAGCAGTCCATGAAATGATTTGCTCGCCATCATGTTATGCCTGCACTTTTCCTACAAAAGAAGAATGTACAGCTTTTTGCAGTTTTTGTAGTGGTATCGATTGGACGAACACCGGTGGGGATCCCTTCCCTTCCTCCCCGTATGCACGAATGTAGCTCGACGACGCGGGGGAGGGGAACGACATCCCTACAAGAGAATATGGGTTCGACGTTGTAGATCATGTCAGAGAGCGAATACTTTGGTTTCATTCAGATATTACAAACCTTTCGTTCCACTTGACGAAAAAATTTTCTTTGAAAGCTGGGCTCTTCTCTCGGCGACCTGCATTGAGCATATAATGGCAAATATTTGTAGGAGTTCTTAACATTGACAAGAATTGCGCATTTTCATATGATAATTTTCAGCCATATAGGCCAATTAAACACATTGTAACTTTCATATTTCATGACATGTTGCCTTTATCTTGTTATTAACCATAGGTGCGATAGTGTGAGAACTTTCTCACCTCCTCTTCACCCCTGAGCCGCGACCAAGGTGACCGCCTTCACCAAAAGCCGAGAATAAAAATCTACAGTGAGGTAAGGTTAAGCAAAGGAGATATTTGTACGTGAATTGTTTACGTACAGGAATGGAGGAATCTGTTGAAATAATGCTTGATGACAAATGTGAGTAGTGATTTTTGGACATTTTAGAGTTTTTGACATGAAAAAAATCCATAACTTTTGTAGATGAACATATTTTACGGCGAAATGATCACCGTTGGAACCGTATCGTAATCCGCTTTCAGAAAGCGTAAGCATATCTGAGATCCGTTCAAGAAAGTGCGGTGAAGGGTGTGCCTGGTGATTTTTGGGAATTTTCGAGTTTTTAACGCAATATTAATAAATTTTGTAAATGAACATCTTGTACGCCGTGATGGTCACCATTGAAATCGTCTCGTCCTCCGCTTTCAGAAAATATATACTATGCCTGGGAGGCATTAGAAAAAGCGCCGGGTGAAGGGTGGGTGAGACTTGTATAATGGGAGTGCTCAAGTAGACGTCTTTTTACAATGGTAAAAAAGCCTGTACTTGAGCACTCCCATTATAAAAGTCTCACCCACCCTTCACCCGGCACTTTTTTCAATGGACCCTAGGCAAAGAATATATTTTCTGAAAGCGGAGGACGATACGATTTCAATGGTGACCATCGCGGCGTACAAGATGCTCATCTCCAGAAGTTACGGATTTTTCTATTCTAAAAACTCGTAAATATCCAGAAATCACTACCCACATTCTTCACCAAGCACTTTCTCAACAGATTCCAGGCAAACTATGAATTCTCTAAAAGCGGAAAACAAGGTGGTTTTAAAAACATTTTCTTGCTGACGTTGCTTTCATCTACAGAAATTACGAATTTCTTCTTTTGAATAAATCGTAAATTTTTAAAAATTGAACTCTTTCCGAAACAAATATTCTCGCATGCACATCTTCTATGGTAATTTCAAAAACAGGTAGAGTTATGTAAAAAAGGAAAAGGAAATGTTTGAAAAATGCAAAGTGCTGGTCAGAAATATAATTGTATGCTAATCCAGCAGCGCATCGGGTTCACATTTCAGAAAGAAGATAACCAGTAATGGTAAGGAATAAATTATGAACTTTGACTAGAAAAAATGATGAGCACCATGGTTTCCCCTCCCCCCGTCGACATTTTATAATTTCTCTACCAAGTGGAACACCCTTCACCCTGGAGGGGCTGCGACCACTGTGACCCCCTTTACCGTGGAGGACTCATTCTCACCTTATCGCACCTGTGATTTTAACATAAGCTGTCTTGAAAAATCTAGAAAGTAGCAGATTTACCTATTTCTGAGCAGAGATCCTCAGGGGAGTGATCCCCTCCCCAGCGTTCGTCTGGTGCATAGTAGGGATGGCCGCTGGGGATCATTCCCTTGGGGAACGGATGGTAAGTCGCTGATAACTACAGCCTCTTGAAGAGCTGGCACGATTTGCAGCTTCTGTTATGTGTAGAAATGCTGGTTTGAATGTCCGCGGCATCCTCCCCTTTTTTTCGGCAGCATAACATTTTCTATCCATTCATTGCATAGACATCTTGATTTCTAACGTTGAAAGTTTTACACTGAAATGGGCAGCATCAGTGAAAGTGAGCAACATCCATGAAAACAGCAGGAATATATTGCGTAGGAAATATCTTTTTTGGCGCGACGAGCGCACTCACGGCAGACGGCATTCCGCAACGACTAAAGTATTGCCGATGACACGCTGGAGGCGAGTAGCTACCGAAAGATAAGAAAAGAAGAATATATACTACAAAAAAGCGAGAGCGAAATGACTCTCCCGCCCGATTCCCCCTTCTGCATAAGGGGGTTCCCTTCCCCTACCCCCAGGGGATCCCTTCCCCGGTAGTGTCTTTGTGCATACGGGGATCAGCGTGGGAAGGGAGCGGAGCCCCAGCGGGGATCATTTCAATGGTTAAGCGCACATCCCCTCCCCGCGGGGATTTACGTGCATACGGGCCTTAGATGGTATGGGTATATGAGAAGACGACAAGAAAGGCACATTACCAGACTAGCAGAGACAGTGGAGATTCCCAGCAGAAGATCGAAAGGTAGACCGAAGATGCGATGGATAAATAGGATCAACGCAGACTTGAGAGTACTTGGAATCCATGGAAATTTTGTAAACCGTGAAGCATGATACAGGCTGACTAGAGCGGCATTCTCCGTATGGAAATGATGCGAGGCTAAAAAATTGTAAACGAAAGCAATATCGCACCTTCTACATATCTAAACACGCTTACTTTAACTCATAAGTAATAAAATATAGGGTATGGCCAAATAGCGTAGCGAGCTGAAATCGGTAAGGTATGCCCTCGTCCTAACGATGTTATCCTTGCAAATATCACCGCTTAGCTTACACCGCTCTTTGCGTCTGCTCTAAGCCGGTCCTAGCGCGATGGGATCATAGCGGGACTTCTCCACAGTTATGAGTAATTATGAGTAACACTACCTTCGCAGTGAAATGACGCAGTAAGTCGTGCATATAGTAAAAGTGCGTTGAACTTTTCATCCTCTCTTTGCGACTGGTATGTTGGACTTCATTCCTGCTAAAGAATCAAAGAACTTTTAGACTGAAAAGCGACCTCCAAAAGGACGAGTGAAGCTCAACGTCGGTGGCACCGCATTCGAAACTTCATTTTCCACTCTCACAAGTTTTGATGACAGCGTAAATTTAAACTTGCTGTTCCATCGATCCATTAGAACGACTTTTTGAAGATGTTGTCTGCTTTGGTTGCTAATCACTGGCGAAGACAGGAAGAGTTATTCATTGACAGGGATCCCTCTCATTTTGAAGAGGTGTTGTGGCTTCATCCTAGCTACAAAATATAGATGGTTTATCTTTAGGTGCTCAATTACCTCAGAGATGGGGAATATGTCGTACTCCCTGAGGACGAAAATACTCTGAAACGACTTCAAAGAGAAGCTGAGGTGGGTTAGACATGTGAGTTAAATAAATTACAACTGCATGGTTTCAGTTCTACAACTTGCCTGGCCTTGTCGTGCTTTGCTCTACTAAGCTGCGGGTTAGTCCTATATTGTAGAGAGAGTCTAATTGAAAACATTTCTAGTCTAATGAAACACCTTGCAATGCAGCAGTCATCTCAGTGCACTTCTGCACTATACAAAAATGAGTCTAACCATAATCGAGGTGTAACGTCTTTTTTACGCTATGAGGAGCAATCATACTAAACGGTATGAGGTGCGACGTGGAAGAGAGGAGGGGGGGGGGGGGGAGTGAGGTAAGCTAAGAAGTAAGGGAACTTATCTACCTAAAGACTTGCCGCGACGGTTATGAGGGCCATGAATTTTTAGCAATGCTATCGGTACCCAATTTGCACCCTAACAGAATTGATTTCTGCACAAAGTAGCTCCGCTTCCCCTCATCTGGGCACGCATGGAACCATGATTTCATTGAAACTCCGAACTTAAAGTTCAGATGCGATTTTCGTTCGACTGGGATAAAAATTGGTATCTAGAGGTCTTATATCATGGTATTTCCGATGTTGCTGGTAATTTTGCTTCAAACATTAGAATTGTATTTCTATAGGTGGAATACACGACTTTCCGGCACCACATACGCTTCACAAAAAAACCGAAGTCGAATCCCACAAGAAGAGGAGTACAAATTTGGCTCCTTAGTTGTACCCTTTCGTTCTTACCCTCAGACGGTCTGGCTAAATAGGTCTCAGACATCCCCGAGTCACCAGTAAGGAAAATTTAGCTATTCAGTTTATTCGGTTTCTTTGTTGCTCCAACTCACCTTCCTTGACCGCTGACCACTTTTTGGATTTTCGTTTTGCCATTTTTCCAAATTTATTTTTGAGTTTTTGGATTTCCGGATAGAAGAGCATGCAACAAATAAATACAGTGTGTATATGTACAACATGCAGTTATGATAGCGTCCTGAGATACACTACATTGACAGTGCTCCTTCCGGTTTGGCATGAGTCATTCTCTCTGAGTCATGAACGCGAAGTGTTGTCCCGTTGCACAACCTCGGTGGGTCGATATTACAAAGGAGCATGACCGGCAAAACAACCTTCAGATCAAGTTGGCGAGGGGATATCCCTAGGGCTCGAGTGAAACTTGATACCGGTCCAGGTAGGCTGTTCAAAATATGAGTATTGATAGTACTCACTTGCTCACTTTTGGGTGCCAGGATCGCTCGCTCGCAAATCCACTCCCCACTGATGAAGTTGGTAGCAATGTTTGGAAAGACCTTTTCTATCCGTTCCTCAGCCGATTGGATCATGTTGCAAAATTCTGGCGAGTTAATCGTGCCAGAATCCGAAAATCTGTTTTCGTCAGCTGTTGCTTGAAGGCAGTGTCCAGGCTAAACCTAACCCCCTCCGATCAGTGTCGATCCTAAATGTAGGCTCCAGAAAAGGAGCATCTGCGTTGGTTCGGTCTTCCAACGTTGCCTCTGAATGGAGATAAGGGGTCTGAAAGTCTTGGGCGAAGTCTGATATCCTCCGCCCACCAGAGCTGCCTCCCGACCCGTATTGACATGGTAGTGAGCAGAAGCTGCACACTGCACACTGCAATAACCGCACCCATGCCATTACAGCTCCTCCCCGCTGGCCTGCCGATGGGGACGAGCGACTCGAAACTCGTCCGCGCCCTCAAAACAGGGTCCCCAGGAATCGGGTTTTTTGTGAATTTTGGAGAGGTTGAATTTCGGAACTGTAATCAGGGCCACGGAAAGGCCCCAGAATGACGAAAACATGGGGTGCCAAATTTTGGGTGGACGCTGCCTTTGAAGCTTCAAGCTTCATCTCATTACCCTGAGGTGTACTCGTACGTACTCTCTTGTCGTGAGATTTAGCGATCGAACATATCTCCAGAGATGAGAAGCTTTGAGGCAAGCTTCCAGCTTATCTGCTGGAGTCGATCGATTCACTGGCAGAGGTTTGACGAAAGTCGCCTGCCAGTAACACGACGGCCCACCCATTAGCCTGTTGCTTCGCATTCTCGCGGACTTTCCGCAATCAAACGCAAAATTGTTCCGGGCCGCACGATTCTTTATGAAGGTCCGCACAGTCCGTAGGTACCTTCTGCTGAAAGAAGGTACCCCAAACCCGGTAATTAATACCACCTATGACACCTCTGCCATACAGTCTCACCTCTGCTCGGCGTACGCCCGAGACTGCGTAAAAGGAGTTCTAGCGCTCGCTGAAAGAAATTATTTGCCGAGCGCTCGCAGGAATGCTGTGTTACCGCCGGCTGGCGGAATATACTACAGTAAAAAAAGTACCGCCCGCTGGAGGTTTGGCCACGCCCCAAAATTCTGCTGACCGCCTGCAGAAAAGCGCGAGGTTGCGGACCGCGTGCGATTATCTGAGCAATAGCATGACGGCACGCTAGCCTGTTGCATCCCCTTCTGTCCTGTAGTGTGAAGTGGAGAGCTTCTGGGAGGAACCTCTTACTCAGATAATCGCCGGGGGGAGGCGGCCTACAAACTCGCGCTTTTCTGCAAACGGTCAGCAGAATTTTGGGGCGTGGCCAAACGTTCAGCGAGCGGTACTTCCACTACTGTCTAATGTTCTGCCAGCGGGTAGCAACACAGAATCTGCAGGCGCTCGTCAAATAATCTCTTTCAGCGAGCGCTGGTCAAATTTTCAGCTGGCGCTTGGACGGTTTTTAAGCAGTTTCGGGCATACGCCGAGCAAAGTGAGACTCTACATGGCAGAGGTGTCATCGATGGTTTAATTACTCAAGTTTGATTTACTTTCTCTCAGCGGAAAGTACCTGAGGACTGCGCGGTCCTCCACAAAGGACAGTGCGGCCCTCGAAAATTTTGCATATACTCGCGGAGTTCTTCAAGCATTCGTCTTAAATTTCGCAGCAATTGGCGATCGCCAGTTTTCGGCGACTACACGTTGGATGCGTTTGATTGAATGTGTCTTGACTGTTTGGCGATGTTGACGATTGGCGATCGCCCGTCGCCATGCTATACTCGAGGAGTATAGCGGCTGCCTAAGCACTGCAGATTTACGATGTAGAAGACCACCTTCAAGACAATACGCCCATCGACAGTCGAAAAAAAGGTGAAGAACTTTGATATTGGCGACTGACTATAGCAACCACACGTTTGATATGTATCGATTTGACGTGTGGTAATTTGCTTGCGATCAACAGGTATATAAAGTACAATCGCCGATATTAGCGACTGACGGTCGCCAGTCGCCAATATCGGCGACATGCGTATCAATCGTCGCCAGGCTATACTCCTCGAGAGTATACCCCGTGTAGTAGGAACCCAGAGGTGGGTCGTATGTCCGAAATGGCAGCACACGTAGACCCCCGGTGGGTCGTATTGTCGTGAGTGTTAGGACAATGCTTGTAGAAGAACGACTGCAAACATCCCTTGGGTATACCTCGCACAAAAAGCAGTGTTAGCGAGAGTATTAGCGTCTTCACGAACCTTTCCGAAAATGTGGCGACATTTCATGTTGGCGATGAAGTAACTTGGACAAAGTACGCTGTGGAAACATGCTGGTTAACCCATTACAGGTAAAGCTTTCTTTTGCGCATTTAGTCCATCTCACGAATTATTATGGGATCGGAAATCTTGCTTCTCAAATGAGAAAAATATTTTAAGAAGTGAAAAAAATCAAGAGGGGTACCCGTGCTTGGTTTGCGGATCTCTTGTGTTCGGTGTAATAGTTGCAACCTGCGAACTAACAAATTGGAAAGAACTAAGCAAGAGACATTTGATGTATGGTGAAGCGTGGAAGCCTTTGAAACATTACTTTCCCGGTTGTTCACATTCAGGATATGTAGTGGAGGTATAGTGTGGACCCCGGCCAGCTTCCCATAGGTACCTGCGCGACGCACCCGCAACGCATGCCTTCAGTGCGTCTCCTGCCCTAGCTTCTGATGGAAATCCTCCTTTCTCTCTTTTTTTTGTTTTCGGTGTACTATATTCTCTCTATTTCAGGTACAAACATTTCGCGATGACCGGTGATGAGATTAATGTGCTCTAATATGTCTAAGAGGCTTCAATCTTGTGTAGTAGTCTTGTGTTTTCCCTTTTTTCTCTGAAAAATTGAGATTTGATTGGATATTAAGATAATATTCTTTCAAAAGCTTCTTGTATAAAATAAGAGTCCCTTTCGGTTTGATGGGTAAGGTGCAGACAGTGTCTCAAATCAAAACTGAGCCTTCCAAGAAGCCAATAGGCATTGAAATGTCCACTTTTTTTTGGAATCTTTGACCACTCTAGCTTCTAAGTCTACGAAGAGAAATGTAAGAATGCTGTTGTTCTTTAATCTACGTATACTTATTACAAACTATCCATCAGTGCAAGCTCGGAATATGCATCCATTGATTGGATTTGAGGTACTCATGGAGGTTGCCTGCGTTTCATTTCTTGCATACGTCTCTTTGGAAGTGAACCTAAAGGTTTCCACTATACATTTTTCTCCTTTGTGAGCATAAATATGCTCTACTGCTCATGAGTGAGGCGAGAGGCATTGAGAAGGGCGCGTGCTGCGTGCGCGCTGCGGAAGTACCTATGGGAACCTGGCCGGGGTCCACACTATAGTTACTTTGAGCATCAAGCCTTGAAAAAATTATCGCATAGCATGCGTTACAGGTTAACAGCACCTGCTGCCGCGTAATATGGATAGTCGCTGGTGAGGACACACACGTTCCGAAGTGCGCGCTTACATTGAAGACGAAAACAGAACCCTCATTTCAATAAACGTTCACAGTCATGTCCTTTCATCCCCTCCGTATCCTTTTGATTTTCACTAAAATTCTGCTCATTACTATATTCTTGATTGTTATGATCGAAATGTTATTTGCATGCGATTTTGGAGTAGCTAGACGCAGTAAGCAGGAATGACACTTGGTGACCCCGGCCATTGTTTTGTATATCAAAAAATGCGCCTTTCAATGCTGTTCGAATACTGTTTTCCATATCTGCGAAACGGGAACCTGCATGGAGTTATGATTATTTTTTTCAAGAATGAATAGCCCTACTGCGGAGGGTGAAAATCATTAACAATAATTTTCCTTTATTCTTCAAATACTGAATATGCTTTAGATGGGTATAAATACAACGTACTTTTTTCAATATTCTCCCCAATAGCTTCAAACGGTAAAATAAATCGAATTGGGTGATTTTAACTACCTAAAAGTATGCCAGTATCCACGAGAAAAGGTTTATAACGCCTTCATATAGTCGCAGATTTTGAACACAGTTTAGAATCAGCGTTCCGAGGTGCACCTTTTAATATACATCGTATTCCAAATGGCCGGGGTCACCAATTATCGTTTCCTTGTAAGTGCGCGATCCTTGAGATGATGACATACTTCCATGATTGTCTCATCGAGTTCGAATCTAATTGCAGTTGGGTTATGACTGGGATTTGAACCGGACATGGGCAGTTTCACAACCCTTGGACGTAAAATTCAATATGGCTTGATTAGAGATATTCTGTGTTACCAAACTCTAGGAAAACTTCTCTCATCATAACCAATCATCTAGCAAGTACAATTGTATATTCGATTGGATTAGAATACAGTCTATTCCAACCCGGAATAGGCGAAAATTCAAAGTGGAGCACGCATCCTCACCGCCACTGGCTCGGCAAGATATATCAGAATGAAGAGACGCAGACTGCAAAACGGCGCGAATCGTTGCGAAGTGGACTCTCGCCGGTCCAATTTCCGCCTAAACTGAGTTGAAACTTACTATGCAGAAGAACTTATAGTCGTCCTCTTTGTTGTTTGTTTGAAAGAGTTAGCGGGACGAAGTACACTTTCCAACAGAATTTCAGCCTTACCGCAAAAAAAGTACAGAGTGCATATTCTAACGATGCTAATATACATGTACATCGAGGACTCATTTCAACTTATTCTCTTCTTGAGTGGAGGTCTAACAAAAAGCTTGACACATTTCATCAAATCACATTTGTGTATATGTTACTTACCGAAAGAGATTTTCCATCCAGAAACCTCCAATCGCATCCTTCTTCCCGTTTACATGAAAAAATGTTAAACAAACGAGCACAACCGCACAAAACATTAGTTAGCGGTGCGAAATCTGAAAGTCTGATAAAGTACATTGCCGCAATGCGAAAGATAGCAAAGAAACACGAAGAAATTATGAGAAAAGCTTATTTGCAAGCGGTTGGCTGAGGGGCGGTCTGCCGTGCTCTGCCGCGGCCGGTCTGCTCCAGTTCGAATTCAAATTCGACCACCGCCGACGGGTGGGGGAACGAAAGCCGCCAGCTTCGATCGCCTGCGCGACTGCTGGTCCTGGAACGACATGCAACAACGTTGCGAAAGGACCAGTTAGCCGCGAAAGGCGGCTTAAACTGGCGGCTCTCGTTCCTCTACCCCCGACCGACTAGTGGGGTGAGGACGACTATACGCGCACTTGCTCATAGAACGCATGCCAGTAAATCGTCAGGGACGCTTGGAATGGATTTTTACTAGGGAAACACCAGCATGAAAATTGTTAAATTTTCGAAGAACTAGCTACATCAGTATTCAATCCTGTTGAAAGAAGGCGTGCGGGTGGACGATATAGTTAGAACCATAGTTGCGATAGGGGGAGTGATAGATGATGGATCTTACCCCCTTCACTTTGAGGCCAAACCCCCGATGACCCCCTTTACCTGGGCCGAGATTGGTATTGTACTTATTCTCCATGATCTCAGCTTTCGGATGGTCTCTGAGAATATGATAAAAACCGTCATCAAAAGGTTTTGCAGGCTAAGTACCTCAAACAACAAGTACACTCATAAATTTACAAAAGAAACGGTAATTATGTTTATTTATATTATTTATTTATCCTCGTAGCATTCATTTGGAGAGCAGAAAGTGAGGACAAAAAAGCAGTTGGTTTTTGGAGTACATAAAATCCCTTATATCTCGCGGCACAGAAGACCTAGAAAAAAATCGACGGTCTACGTCGATTCTCCATGATCTCAGCTTTCGGATGGTATACAGCTTGTTAGGGCTTCTTTGCTTCCCGGCTCTAAAAATCATTTGCTCCGGTAACTGATAAAAGCCAATACATTGGTGGAGCTGGGTGGAGCAAGCTAATAGTAAATATCTCCGCCCCATTTTTGAAAACTGGTTAGTGTTTTCGCCCAGCAACCTATTTACCATTCGAAAGCTCAGGAAAAGGGGATTCGACTAGACCGTCGACTTTTTTCTAGCCCCCCTCTACCGAGAGATACACCGCATTTTATCTGAAAACATGGTCATTTTCAACAGCAGATTTCTGCCAAATGAAGACCTAATCACTGCTGATTATCTATTTGTGTTAAAGAGCAAGTCTTCATTAACAAACGTAGACCGTCGACTTTCTCGTAGCATTCATTTGGAGAGCAGAAAGTGAGGACAAAAAAGCAGTTGGTTTTTGGAGTACATAAAATCCCTTATATCTCGCGGCACAGAAGACCTAGAAAAAAATCGACGGTCTACGTCGATTCTCCATGATCTCAACTTTCGGATGGTATACAGCATGTTAGGGCTTTCTTGCTTCCCGGCTCTAAAAATCATTTGCTCCGGTGACCCATGAAAGCCAACACAATGTATAGGTCGTCCCGAAAGTTCTTGCGCACGATTTTTAAAAATTCATAACTTTTGCTTTTTCCAAGCCGATTTGACTGCTTTCACTTTTATGTGAAAGGGTAAGTCATGCTCTTTATAATGACATCTCAGTGCTTACTAATGGTCATCTGTTGCATAGATAAGAGCGATAGAAGAATATTGGTCAAAATTTGAATTTTTCGTGTAGGGTCATAAAAAATCGGAAACTTGCAACAAAAATCGGAGCAGTCGGAATTGTAGATTCTTTCACAAGCTCTTTCTAACAGTGCAAAGTTTGCGCTGATTGAGGGTCTCTATGAAAAGTTATGATTTTCGAGCAATCAATACAAAAGGGCGAAGTTGGTTTATTTTGGCATTCTTCAGGGAAATCGTAACTTTCCATAGAAACGCTCAATTGGCGCAAACTTTGAACTGTTAGAGAAAACTGGTGAAAGAACCTACAATACTGACTGCTCTGATTTTTGTTGCAAGTCTCCGATTTTTTATGACCCTACACAGAAAATTCAAATTTTGACCATTTTTCTTCTATCGCTCCTATCTATGCAACAGATGATCGTTGAAAGCACTGAGAAGTCATTATAAAGAGCATGACTTACCCTTTCATAAGAATATAGGAGCAGTCAAATCGGTTGGAAAAATCAGAAATTATGAATTTTTGAAAATTGTGCGCAAACACTTTCGGGACGACCTAATAAGAGCGAGGTGGAGCAAGTTGATAGTAAAAATGTGCTATGAATTGACATCGTTATCAGCACTAACGGGACGTGAGCTAACGCATCTATTTGAGCGTGCTTATCGTTGTTGTATGTTTATGTTTTTTTGGTAAAAAATGCGCTTTTGATTGACAGTTATACCATCATTATTAACGCACTCAAAAAACTATGGGAGATTGGTGAATTTCCACACCTTCACACAAAAACCCGCCCCTGGAATCTATACTCTGTAAACCTAGTACTGAAGAGGCCACTTTCGTGAAAACGCTCTAGACTCACCTTACCTATTTTGTAGAGAATGGAATGAATCAAAAACTTTAAGACATTCAGAAGAATAACATGTTATTAAGATATCTCTCAATGTTTTGAGAAGATTGGCAGTTTGAAGAGGAAACGGCAGGCAGAATACTTTACAAAATCGCAGATGACTCGCATGTGTTCCAGTTCAACAGCGAAGCAGAAGGAGAATCTTACGCCGACGAAAATGTTGTCGACATTGACACACAGTTGACAATTGAGCAAAACTCTCTGATTCCCTACATAAGGAATCCAAGCAGATTGCCTAGTTTCAATGAGGAAATGTCCAGGAAGTCCATTGCTGACAGGTTGCTGAAGATCTCAAGGCTGCTAAATTCACAAACATGGAATAAACAGGAAGGTTTGTCAACCTTCTACTGAGCATACTGTTATCTAAAAACTTCATTTAAAGGATTGGTATAAGTGGCCCATACAGGCTGTTACAGTATGACTTTTTGAAATATGCTAAAAGATGGTATGAAGAAACTGGTCACCTACCTGCTGACTTTCCTGGCGCTACCGGAGGGCCAGGAAAAAAATCACAAAAGCGCTTAGAAAAAGAAGAAAGTTTCAAATCCATTTTCGACTCAATTCTGCTTCTACTTCGATGATCTTTTGAGGAAGAAGAAGATTTTTCAGGCGGCGAACTTGTTGTCTCTGACATTAGCGGTAGTAATATTGTTGCTGATGATGTGCAGAACCTTATTGCTTTCGTTTTTTGTTGATGCAATGAAACAGGAGCACAGACTTCATAAAGTCAATTTTTTTTAAATTTTGATTTCTTTCAAAATTTTTTAATTTTTTTTTAATTTGTGCCTAAATAAGGTGCAAATGGAAGCTCTTCATACCGCGTTTTTTTCCTTTTCTCTCTTCCTCCCCCCCCCCCCCCCTAGACTCACATACCTCCTTCACCCTGGAAGGCCGGGAACAGCCGAGACTCCCTTCACCTGGAAAGAGCCCGGCTCCCCCTATCGCACCTATGGTTAGAACCGAATATTCGTGTTCGAATATATTCGAAACATTCGACTATTCGAATATTCGAATAGTCGAATATTCGAGAAAGTCCAATTATTCGATTATTCGAATAGTCGAATAAATGAAAAAGGCCTGTATTCAAATAATTCGTTCATTCGACG